CCTGTCCCATTGGCCATGCCATAGCCACTAGTGTCAGTTCAGAACCACAGTGTCCAACCTGCAAGGACGTAGGGTCTCCTGATGATCAAGGAGAGTGGGACATGGAAAACTGAGTGACAGGAATCTCACCTGTGGTCCGGGAAGAGGGGACACCGTGAGGGACACCGTGAGGGACACCGTGAGGGGCACCGTGAGGGGCACCGTGAGGGACGCCGTGAGGGACACCGTGAGGGACGCCGTGAGGGACGCCGTGAGGGACGCCGTGAGGGGCACCGTGAGGGGACACCGTGAGGGGCACCGTGAGGGGCACCGTGAGGGATGCCGTGAGGGACACCGTGAGGGACACCGTGAGGGACACCGTGATTCAGTGCTTAATGAACGGGCTATCGCAGGGCAGGCGGGCAACCCCTGCCGCGCTGTCAAGCCTTCATTGTCGGGTCTTGCCTGTTCTATAGCCTGACTGGGGCCTGACAATTACTGTTTTTTCTACTTCCTGGAACACAATTATCTAGGTTTGCTCAATGCTGAGTTTATAAATTTGGATTACCTAAACAATGGCTATTGCAATATATTCTCTTTTTAAAAAATGGTATTTGTAGTATACTGTAGGATGTGGACAGTTTTTTCTTAAATATCAGATAGTATGTTTCAGTTCTATGGGTCATATAATGTCTATTGCAACTATTAAACTCTACCATTACCACACACAAAAAAGCCATAGGCAATAGAGCTAGTGAGATGTCTCAACAGTAAACACACTTGCTGTCAAATCTGACAACCTGAGTTCAATCTCTAGGATCCACATGATGGGAAGAGAGAACCAGTTCCCAAAAGTTGTCCTCTGACCTACACTCAAGTAGGTATGTACAAACTTACACAGTCACATGATAAATAAAGAAATATACTTCAAAAGATTTTTTAAAAAGCTATATACTTGGAAAAAAGAATCAACAGATAATACTGTAAATTAATAAGCGTAGATGCTTCAATTAAACTTTATTATAAAAATGGGCAGCCAACTTGCCAAACCCCGATTCTATTCAATGACCATAACTGTTAAAACAGGCAAACAGACAAAAAATTTAATTATTTGATGAAACATTGAAAGGGAAGTCAGCAAATTTCAGAAGTAAATGTGTAGTCAGGTAAATTCATTTTTTAAAAAATTCTAAAAACTCTCTTTTTTTGCTTTTTAATGACTACCAAGATAATGCTCTTGCCAGATGTATCAGTGGCAGTCTCAGATCCATCAGTGACTCCAATGGAGAATAACTGTAGAGCAGAATTACTCAAGCTCAAACTAAACTGTTTTCAAAAATTCAAGTAGAGGAAGAGTGGAATATCAGCATTGGTAAATGCTTAGATTTTAGCCCTTTTCAAAAAACAGAAAATGCCCTTGGAGTAGTGAATTATTTGTATAGAAATACTGTACTTATTTTCTGTGTTAATTACATAAATCAAACTACAACAAAAGCAAACAAGCAAACATGAACCACAAAAACCCATGGGCTAGAAAGAGATGGCTCAGTGGTTAAGATCACTGACTGCTCTTCTAGAGGACTGGGGTTCGATCCTCAGCGCCTCTACAGCCGCTCACAACCACCTGTAACTCCAGCTCCAAGGGGATCTGGCACCCTCTCTGTGGGAACTGCATGCTCATGGTGACACAGGCACAAATGCAGAGGAAACACCTACCAGATTAAATAAGAATAAATAAACATCAAAAAATGTTCAAAGTAAAGGGAAAAAACACTCTCTCGGGGATTTGGGGAGATGGCTTAGAAGACAAAGTACTTGCAGTGCTAGAATAAGAACCTGAGTTCTGATGCCACCACCTACATAAAAGCTTGACACGGTGGTACACCCCTGCAATCTGGGTTGTGAAGACAGGTGAACCCCAGAGTCTTATTGGCCAGTCAGTCTAACCAACCAAGGAGCTCCAGATTCAACCTTAACTAGAAAATTGCTGTGGAGGGTAATTGAGACAGACACCCTGCTTTGGCCACTTGGCTCTGCACAAACACACATAAACATTCTCATACAGATACACATAGTTAAAAAAAATAATTAAAAAAAAACTCAGTGTTTTAAAATCACAGTCATATTCAGTTCTCGTTCCAAGAATCATCCAGGTTATTCTTTTGATCTAGGTTAGGCTTTGATGATAGAGACACCTGCTCAGGGTCTTAGTCAGCTGGCTGGTTGGTAGAAGCCTGGTGCTCTTGGATGGCTTCCCCATCCAGCAGATGCCGGCCAGCTAGTAGTGGCCACGAGAAAGAGCTGTCCATCTCAGTGCCCCCACTCTCTAGCAGCTAGTTTAGCAGTTTTGCACCACAGTCATGGATGAAGAGGTTGACCAGAAGTCCACAGTCCTTCGGCAGCCTAGGTTCATGACCATCATACCAGCTGCATGCTGTGCCCAAGCAAGTTTTGAGTCTAGCCCATGTTCTCAAAGTAGGGAAACAATTAATTTCTCCTCCTGGAAAGAGCACAAGGTGCGAGGCAGACTCAGCCAGCACTGCAGCCCCCTGCCACAGAGCCTAAGAGAGCAGTCAGAGTAACTATAAGGGCAAAACAGGCAATCTGACTGGTGGCTTCGTTCAGCTACCGAGGTTAGTACAGTGAAGCAGGGTGACGAGGGTTTTCACAGTGCACAGCCTGTTCTTACTATTGAGTGAACTTGGGTTTTGCAGTCTGTCAAATCCCTGTAATTTTCCATATGTGTGCTATTATGTTCTGTGCTCAGAAAGCTCTGGTTATAACTACTCAAACTGTCAAAAGAGAAATTAGGATGTTTACTCTTGGATTGACACAGATTCTTGTAGTTTTTAGCAGAAGACTGGATCGTGAAGTTCCTTAAAACAATGAGTTTTGTATTCAGCATGCAATTTGCTTTATACAAATTTGACACAAAAATGTTCTAGACCTTCCTATAACACGGAACACCACGATCCTTTATCCCACTGTGGACTCCTGTGTACTAAAGGGTACTCTTGGTTCTGGGTCTCACCACATCTCTATATAGAAAGGGTCAAATCTGCAGCAGTAGTGCATTTATTGCTCTTTTTAGGAGTAAATCCACATAAGGGGTTGGGGGAAAATGTTGGCCACAGGGTCAGGGGCTGTGAGTTGTTGCTTACACTTTGGAGATAGCAGAGTTCTAGAAATGATTCTAGGCTTGGAGCCTGTCTTGATTTGGATTCCATTGACAGCCACTCTCTTTGTTCAAGCCTAGCTTTTAACTCTTCTTGGCGTCACTCACGTGGTGGCACCTCTTGTCTTTGCCTGTGCATGGTTCTGCCTGTTGATGAGTAGCTTCTTTGGGTCTTTGTTACCTTTTCTATAATATGGGTTAATGGTTTCTACATTGGCGTTGCACTGTATGGTAAGAATTGGTAAACAAACAACAAAAACAAAATGGCTCAGTTTAGAGTTAAGACCTCAACAACTGACTTGAGCATACCTCATTTTGCATGACTTAATTTTCCATTCATCCTACTTTTGTGCAAACAGAATCCCTCAAAATCTGAATATGATTCTGAAAATAGCAAGTAAAGGAGTGTTTTCTTAGACATGATAGCTGAGAATTGGGGATCCAATTCTTTCATTTAAGACTTTAAAGACTTTCATTTAAGACTTTCATTTAGGACATCACTAAAAGCAAGTATTTCTGACATGGGTAACACACGAAGGCTTACCTTCCACTTTATTATAAGCAAGTTAGAACTTTTCCTCACAGCAGACCCTACCATGTATGGGAAAAGGAAGATATCACAAAGTAGTAGAACCTTTGAGGTGCTGTGGGAACTCCTTCAGTCAATAGCCTTTGGGCTACGGGCCCACTTTGGGTGTGGTATCATGTACTATATATCCAGACACAAAATCATGCACAGGTCCCTTGGTTGCTGAATTCAGTTCCAGTTACGCGCTCACGCAGAGGACTGTGAATCACTACTCTTTCTGTGAGTTCACCACATAATAAATTCTGTGAGTTTACCCCCTAAAAATAAACCTTTATTATACTCCATTCCGGGCTAGTGTGGAAATCTTTTGTACAGCAACATTGAAGAAGTAGACAAGAACTCAGAAAGAGGACATAGGGTGATACTGCAGGTAAGTCACAATGACAAAACAAAAAAGATGCTAACCATAGACTTGGGGGAAAGTTCTAGAATCCCATAGATGCTGAATCCTAAGGAAAATCTAGAAACACAAGAGAAGGGCTGTTGGAAAGTTGTACACAAAAATAATGACAATGCATTGATCCTTGGATGCCATGAATACATGTATTTTTTCCTCCAATACCTACTTCTATTTTTCTCCAATTATAAAATTTGTATGAATTCTCTACATCAGCACTTTCTTTTCCAATATTAGAGAAGGAGCCTACATTTTAAAGAACAGAACAGAGAGGAAAGGCCTGGCACCATTGCTCTAGCTGGACTGAGCTGCTGATATTGTGCAGGACCCCAGAAGGTGGCTTCTACACAGCACTTTCATAACTCCAGCCAAGCAGGCCCAGTTGAAAGAAGCATTTCCCTTCCTAAAGCAGACACAGCCTAGACAATGTTTTAAAGTTACATGAGATTGAGTCTAATTTTATTATAGATTTTATTAAGAGACTATCATCACTGAAGCCTTTACCAGGGCTCGTTTATTGAACTGAGGTCAATTCCGCAGCCATTATTCATTCAGCACTGGGATGTGGGAGGGATCAAGATGAGTGAGACTTCACTTGATCCCTGTCCTTCAGAGGTTCAAAGCCAGGTAAATGAGGCAGCAGAGCCAGCAAGATACAATAAGGTCTCTAACCTGTTCACTCTGCCACCCCAGTTCAAAGACTTTAATCCAAGAGACATGAAGATGCTTAGGAGTGGAAGGCAGTTTCCACTCCAGCGGCTCATAGGCCATCACCACCAGCACAGACATGATCAAATTCTAGTCCTTGTTTCATATTCTGGACATTTAGATCTTGTCCTGCCCTTGCCTATTTTGTGGGGTTTACCTTTCAGCATTCTAGAATATTCTGGAATGCTTCATATTGTTGAAATCCATTATATGTCCCTGCTTTGCCTCCACCAGGCTTCCACCACAAACAGCGTGCTTCTCTCCCAGCAAATGACTTTACAGGACCCACCCTGGATTCTCTTCATTGTTGTCTCTCCTCCTCTACTGATCCTTCTCATCGACTCCACAGAGTAGAGGTCCAGGGCTGGGAAGTGGGAGAGAAGAAATGAATCAGGTTGGGACAACTGCCGGGAAGGGCTCTTGGGAGAGTCTCTTGAAGCTGGACCTGGGAAGGTATGTTGAGAAGTTAGGAGAGAGCCGAGCTCCGGAAGGAAGCATCCAGAGATGGGCAAAGGGAGAGTGGGTCTGATCTGGTCTGGTCTGGGACTGATGAGCAGGGGAAGAGGCTGGGAAAGGATGACTGGCAATTTCCTGGCAGGGTCTTCCAGCCTAAGGAGTTGGAAGAGTACTCTTTGTTCAGTGGAGACATGGGTGGAGTGCCTGTGGGGTTTGGGGTGCCGGATGGGAACCCAGATGAGTGAGTTGGTTTGTTGCTGTTGTTTGTTAATTTGCCACAAGCCAGAGTCCTCAATTGAGAAAATGCCCCTTAGATTGGCTGTAGACAATTTTTTTATTGTTGTTGTTTTGCTGTTGTTGTTATTGCTTAGTGATTGACATGGGAGGGCACAACACACTGCAGGTGATGCCATCCCTGGGCCTGTGGTCCTGGGTTGTATAAAAAGGCAATCTGGGCAAGCCATGAAAAGTAAACCAGTAAGCAGAAATCCTCCATGGTCTCTGCATCTGGAATTCAGGCCTGCGTGAGTTCCTGCCTGGGTTTCCTTAATGGCCAAATCATCAGGACATGTAAACCAAATGAACCGAAGTTGTTTTTTTCCATGATGATTATCACTTCAATAGAAAACAAACCAGGTCGCCAGATAGCTCTCTGAGGCTTCCACATGCATCTTCGTTCTCAGATTCCTCTACAAACCAGCTGGCCACAGCGTGCCCAGGAGGTGAGGTCATGCGCAGGTAGGGAGCGGGGTCTTTGTAAGAGAGTGACACTACTCTAGGGGACAATCATTTGCTGTTCGTTTCCTGTATGGAGAGAGAAAGAGAGAGCTATTAAGGCACAAACAGACTTAAGGAATGAGAGAAAACAGGATGCCCATTTTTGTCAGGAAATCCGAGTTCCTTTTGTTTTGTTTTTGATTTTGCTTTTAAGTTCAAGGGTTGAATCTTTTGTGTAGGAGTCAAAGGTGCGTTTTTATATTTTTATAGTGACACCTTATACAAAGACATCAAATATACACGGAGGGGCTCAGGGAACATGCAGCACTCCTTTTTCCCCCTTTTGTCTGCTACGTGCTAGACACTCTTAAAATAGACCGTGGGAGTTGGAACTGGGGCCCGGAATCACCTGCTTACCTGTAATACCCTGGACTTCCAATCACCACTCCTGGCCAGTGTGTGATACAGACGGACATCCATTGGCCCTGTGTGGGAACCAGAAGTGGTGCAGACCCCTGCCATCCAATCCACAGACAGTGGTCAGGTGGCAAGGCTGGGCTGGTCATGTGCATTGGTCTTGGTAACAGCTGCTGCAGCTGAGCAAGAAGCTCGAGGCCAGGGAAACGGGTGAAACTCGGAGCAGCTAAGGAGACAGCTGAGACAGCCTGATGCCACAAGGAACAGAGACGAGCACAGGTTAATTAGAGAGAGCTGTTCTTCAGGCTAGGCTCCATAGCACCTTAGAAAAGATGGAAACTTCAGCATTTGTCTCAGCTGGCTGAGTTTCAGGTACGTGTCCCATCCGAACGCTTATACGAGGCATGCGGTCCAAGAGCGTGGAGATCTGACAGAATTTTAAGGTCTTATTTAATGTCCTTTTGTCATGTGGCACCATCAATTTCTCTATGTCTAGAAGGCCATTGGCTGGGAAAAGAACAGACCTGAGAAGCCGATTCAGCTATGGCATGGATGTGTTGGTCCTTATGTTGAGCTTAATCCTACAGCATGGGTATTGAGGGGTGGTGGTGCCTTTAGGAGGTACTTAGGTTCTGGGGGCTCCATGCTCTTGAAGGGGTTGGTGGAGTTGTCAGGTGAGTGTGTGAATTACATAGTGACCAGGTTCATACAGAGTTAGTTTGGCTTCCCATGTTGGATGCTTTGCTTCCCCACTCACTGTAATGTCTCTGACATACTTGACTTTCTGATCGTTCTACCATGAGGTCTTCATCAGAAACCAAGTGGGCAGGTGCTGGTGTAATTACCATTGGATCTCCCGAACTGAAGGCTAAATGGACCTTATTCCTTTAAAAACTACCCAACCTCAGACTTTGAGCCAATGTGGCAGAAAATGCTGATAGAAGACACTAAACACTGGGGATGACACAGCAAGAGAATAAACGGAGCAGAGTACACTGAGCCCGATTTTAGGGGTTCTGATGTGGGAATCCCCTCTGTGTGCTGCTTGTATTGGCTAATGAATAAAGAAACTGCCTTGGCCTGATAGGACAGAACGGAGGTAGGCGGAGAAGACAGAACTGAATTCTGGGAGAAAGGAAGCAGAGTGGGAGAGATGTCATGGATCTGCCAGAGACAGATGCTGGGAATTTTACCTGGTAAGCCACTGCCAAGTGGTGGTACAGAGATTAATAGAAACGGGTTAAATTAAGATGTAAGAACTAGCCAATAAGAAACTAGAGCTAATGGGCCAAGCAGTGATTTAATTAATACAGTTTCTGTGTGATTGTTTTAGGGCTAAGCTAGCCAGGCAGCCGGGACGAACAAGCAGGCCCTCCTCCTCCAGGGCTCAGAAACTCATGTCACCAGGAGGGCTCCCGTGGAGGGGACCCTCGACATCTGCTCACTGAGTGGGTCTTACTCCCATGGGTCTTCACTCCAGGGCCAGTTTCTAAGGCGCCTGCTCTGAGAATCTTGCTTTTAAACCTGTTTCATTGGTTCTCTCATCCTTTGCTCCCATGCTCGCTCCGCCTACCGTCTAATCCAGTTAGTCTCACACCGGTATTTATGGACAGTGTCTTCCCCAAGAATGTAAGTGCACACAGTGCATGTTCATGCCTGCTGTTGTATCCCAAGTGCTGCTGTAGAGCGAGCTGATAGAAGAACTAGAAGTATAGCTCTGGGTGCCCATGGTCCCTGCTGATGCTGGAGTCTGAGCTGAGCCCCCACTGAACAGGTGTCTATCCAGCTCCCAAGCAAGGCTCTCTGTTCACAAGCTCGGATTGCTCTTCCTTCTTCCCATTTGGTGGAAAGACACTGGTTCTTTGTTAGAAGTTAATAGAGGGATCTGGTACTAAATTACCTCAAATTCTCTTCCCAGACTGGGAGCAGAGGGTGCTCCTCGTTCTCATTTCTGTCATCCTTGATCATGGTGCTGGGATTTCTAAGTAATCCTTCAGTGCTGATGGAAAGGAAGGCTAGCTGCCAATGTGATTTTGTCCTTCCTTTCCCAGAACAGTGCCTGCCTAGTACACAGAGCTTCTTATAGTCACCCAGGACTGGGCTTTCTCCAATTGTGTCTCTCTAAGCAGAAGTATGTGCATAAAAACAGGATGGGGGAGGCACTCCACGCTATATCCCTGCTGTCCACAACTGGCATCTCTGAACCAGCCTTGATTTGATCATGCCCCTCCTCACTGATAAAGTCCCAGATCTCCTCTGTCTGAAACAGTACTTACGGCTCTCAGTTCTTTTCTAGGCTACCGAGAGAAGCAAAGAACAAGCTTGAATAGGTTGTGGTTAGATCTCAGTGGGCCAAAAGTTGAGTCTTCCTGCCTGGTTCCTGAGCCAGCCTGCAGCCTGGTCAAAGGAAATGTCTCAGCAGGAATTCTCCACAGTTCTGCTTTTGGCAGCTTGGCTGCAGGTGTTTCCAGGCACATGTCCTCTTTGTCTGGGACTTCTAGGAAGTGCACAGAAAGGTGGTGGAACTCCCCAGAATCCCTCTGTGGCTTAAGGAGAAGAAGCTCTTTGGATCAATCAAGCTCTATTTTGGACAGCAGAGGGGGGGTCACAGAGGAGGTGTCTGGTGCGAGTTAGTCCTTTGTCCATTGTTTGGACCAAGACAAGCGAGGCCAAAGTGTTGAGCACCATCTCCTGCAGCTGTGTTGCTTCAGGAAGTATTTACACAGAGAGCCAGGGCAGATGGGCTGACGGGGACTCTTGGAAAGGCAAGAGATGGAATCTAAGTCCTGCCAATGGGAGACCATTCTCCTGGTAGCAGGATGCTCCTCATCTGAACCTTCCTACTGTGGCCATGGTGCACACTAGTCCTTTGGAAAGTGAATGGTTCTGGAGGCCCGTGTCTCTATAGTCTCTGTAGTCTCCCAGAAGGAACTGAAATCCTTTGAAAGATTGAGAAGACAGCAGGACAAGGGATGGAGTGGCTGCTACGGGCTTATGTTTTATGGGTTTGGGCCTTGGTGGGCAAGACTGTTTCTGAAGGTTATGGAACCTTCCTAATGTGGGTTCTAGATGACAGATGGAGTCTGCAAAGGGAATGGCTTTGAAGACTTCACCAAAGTTTAGTTCTGGTGTAACTCCCGGATTTCTGATATGACGTGATGAAAAGAATTGTCACTTCATGTTCACACCACAATATACAGAGTGACCCCAGCAGCTCCCCATGGTGATGGACTATACCCACTGAAACTCTGAGTCCTAGTGAAGCTTCTCCATTAATTTGAATCTGTCATGTACTGTGTTGCACGAACAAGAGATGTGTCTAGCATAGTGCCTGACCCAGACGGTGTGTCTACTGTCTTTAGTTCAAGTTTGCTACCTTGCCAGAATGTAACCTCTAATTCTGTCATCAGGACAGGGCTGGAGTAGACATTGCCAGGTTAATTCTTGTCAGGGCCATAGTTCAGTTTGGCTCGGCAATTATAAAAGTCATTGTTACCCTCCAAAGAACAAGGGACAGGTTGAAAGTGAAACAGGCAATAAAGAAACGAGCTTCTGCTAACTTTTGGCTCTTTGCTGTGTCCAGAAGAGGGATGTTTAACACACTTGCTGATGTTCTGGATACTGGCCTGTGATTTGCATTGGTCTATTTAATTAATTTTGTTAACATCTTGCATGAAGCTACTAAGGAAGGCTCAGCTGTGGTATGATAGGAAGTTAGGAGTTCCTGCTGTTTCTGGGAAGTCTGCAAAGTCAAACTAACTCAGGCTCTGCTCTGTTAACATCAGTGCCTACCCGCGGATGACCACCTCTTCTCTGTGCTGTGTCTCAGATGACACAGAGAGCCCTCAGCTGGTGGGAATCATATCTAAATACTTCTCGTTGTTCTCACTTGGGCTGCTCTCAATTCTTAGACAAGGGGCATTTTCTTTCACTGTGATTTTGTTTCCTCCTATCTTCATACAAAAGAATCAGTGTCTCAGTGAGTTGTGCTCAGCAGTTTTCCTTGTTTGCAGTATATGTTTATGAAAGCACACTAGAGATTATTTCTTAATAACAAACAATTTTAAAAAGATGATTGAATATGCAGGTGCAGACTTACTGACTGGCAAGCATTTCTGCTCTCTCTTCTAAAATGGCCAGTTTTACCCCAGGGTACACAGCCGGAAAACTGTGAGGGAAAATAAGCCCTATTTCATTTTTTTCCATTCCCCTGATGGATACTCCATGACATTAAGAGTCTTTGAACTAACATCTTGGAGAAAAAATAAAAGCATTGAAAGATAAATGGAATGCCAGTTAATTCTGTTATGCTATTTATTGACTTGCTGGCTGGGCTTAGTACATCCCCAGAGGACTCTCAGGAGAACACATTTGATGGAAATATAGCTGTGTGGTACTAACAACCCAACAAGAGTAATCACAGGGCCTGGGGTTGGCAGCAAAGCATGTCAATCTGAGTCAACAGAACTATAGATTCTTCCATTGTTCTTCTATTTACTGTTTGGTGATCTCAGAAGGTTGTGGAAACTGGGTTGAAGAACTTTCTTTCCATTAGTACAAATCTGGGTTTGTAACCTGCCTATCAATCATTCCAGGTCAATCCTAGTCTGGTAATGAAGGTAAAGGCTGGACTTACACACACTTGAGGCATTTTGCATAACCCTAATGATTGCAGTTACTAACCAAATGGTGTGGATGAAGATTGCTTATTGTTGATAAGGAGTTTCACAGTTCCGCCCTGCGATGAATAGGTGTGAACAGCCAGGAGCTGAGATGAGGCAACGACCTCAATTTGCAAAAGGTGGCCAGCCCAGAAGGCAGTACAGGTTGGTGTTACAGCAAGGTTGCATGCGTCTTAGTGATCAAGATCTTCTCTGATTCACATTAGATTAAGGGCTTGAAATTTTATGTCTTCATAAGTTTAGAACTCAAAATCCCAAGTTAAAAACTAGAAGGCACAGAGCAGACAATTTAAACTCTTCCCACTCCAAAGTGTGGGGAGGAGTGGGGATGCAGGTGGCAGCAACCTCACCTGAGCTCTGGACAGAAATCCATAGTTCTAGCTCCTGAGACTGGCAGTGGCAGCATCCCCAGGACACAGAAAGCACATTAAGTTCTGGATTCTGCATGCGCTATTCTCAACCAATCTTTGTGTTTTATGGAGGAACAAAATCACAGTAGTCTATAGGAACTCTTCGAGGTCACACACCAGGTTCCTGGAAGAGCAGAACTCATCTCAGCTCACAAA